TATATATATATATATAAATAAAAATGTTGAAAAACTTTCCAATTCCAACATTCCAATTAGCAATATTTTCAAATTATTGAAAGTAGCAGAGTTAGAGACACCCAAATAGGATATGCTTATTACATCTCACCCTCAAAACAACTCTAATTTATTTTTTTGTATCTCCATGTACAAGGTCAAATTCAATAGCATCTTGGTTACTAAATTCATCTTATAAACATAAATTGACAAATTCTATTACAAGATTTTCAAACAAAATCCTCCACTGCCATTACTATCTTTTATAATTTGGGGAAGTCTAGGATAGTAAGAACAAAAGTACAGTAAAATATAGAAACAATTTCGAGGACATTTAGAAATAATTTTCTTGCAATTGCAGCCTGTCAACATCAGGAAAAATTTGATTTTCTAGAAATTCTCCTTAATAGTATTCTTGAAACCATTTTCCCAATGTTCCACTCAACATGAATTTACAGATGAAGTTGTAGTAACCAATTTCCCTATTCTTAACTCTGCAGCACTGAACACTAAAGGCCATACAAAATTCTTGCTTCTGCCTTTCAAATTATTAATGCAAGGAGCTACATCATACCGCAGCTTTACCTGTAGACTTTTTGTCAGGTACATCTCTACTGCTTTCAGAATCATCACGGCGAACAGGAACAAAGGCTTTTAACCACTTATCACTAGCATCTTCACCATTGTTGTCAACATCATCCAATGTCACTAGAGGAGGGAATGATGCAGATTGAACTGTTGCAGCTTTTGCTTTTGCTGCACTTGGATATGCACTTTTCCTATCACAAAGAGCCAGATGTTTTGCTGAAACAAAAGTCAAATACAGATTAGATAAATTAGTAACAAAGAATACGTGACTATCCAAAAATACCCTCATTTGTTACAAAAAAAGAAAAAGTTTTCACCTAGACGATTTCCACTATTTGAATTATATCCACACACACAGTGTAATGGTTCAGGCAACCGAATTGGTGCACTGAAGTCAAAGACTGGTTTGTCTTCAATTTCATGGAATGTTTTCATATGTTCCTTCAGATTGGTAGAACAACATGTTGCAAACCGACATCGTGAACACATAGAGTAACCACTGAAAATGAAAGAAGAGAAATTGAACATCTTTTGAAACTCATGTACGAGTTATAAGTAAAGGAGTTTTCAAATATAGAGATTGCTATCCTCGAGCAATTTAACCTAATTATTAATCAAAAACCTTTATAATTGAAGAGTTAAGTACAAACAGATGTTAATTCAACATTCTATGTTTTTCTTAAGTTAGGTATTGCAAACAAATTTCCAGTTTTCCATCATATGACTTTACTTTTGATGAAAGTCACAATATTTAGCAAAATATTCAAGGTTAAAAAAGTATTATAGTTATCAGTTATAATATTAATTTTTCATCACTCATAAATGAGAGCAGATGAATGAAGTAATTAGCAGTAAAATGAAGTATATAAATACATTCCCATACTTACATTTTACAACATCCTCACAATTTTATTAAAAAGTAACAATAATGATATAGTTTCAACCAACAACTAAATGTATCAGATTGGCAATTGACATTGGTTTTATATATTTGGAACAGATAATAAGATATGATTAAATGTAATTAAAACATGTATGTTTAATTTCCTAAGTTCCTATGGCAGCCTGTGAATAAATGTTCAGGGTAGACAACAATTACTGAATGATAGAGAATCCAGATGGCATGGGAGCCTGCCCCACCGCCCTTGGCTCCAATATTTTTGTAGTTGTCATTTATCGAAAACCATTGTCGCATATTTATCGTCTCAGAATCCAAAGAAGTATGCACATTAAGTCTAAGCAGACATCATTTCAAAAAGAAATTTACATTCTAAAACAGTTTTTTAATTTTATAAGACATTTATGGGGAGCACCACTGCTATACTTTCATACGATCTTAATGTATTTCTAGGGTACTTGTAATTTTACATGTAAATGAGTAAATTTCATTGATTACCATGAAAATGCCAATAAAATAAGATAATTGTGAGATGTTCAAGCAGATACAATGAAAATTATTTCACAAAGAAAGCAAATTTATGAAGATTTATCATTTTCAAGTTTTTTTGTGTTAAAAAACTATGAAGAAAAGCAGTACCATAGATCGTTAAAAATGAGAGGAAAAAATTTACTCTTCAAACAAAATTGAAATAGTCTTTGCAGAGTTCTTCTACATATTTTATGAATTCAGAAGAACCCTTTAAACTACAAATTCCAAGTTTTCTACCCTCAAATGAAAAATTAAGCTGAACAGAATAGTTGACTTAATCATAATATTTTTTTAATATTTTCAAGTTGCTTCGTATGGATGCACAAGACTTACATTGCAACCTGTTGCCTAGGCACAGGGCACCCCTGTCCTTGCAAACTTACATAATACACAAGATACAGAGGCATAATTAATTGGGATGAAATTTGAAAAATATTTCTTACGGGAAATGAGATTCGGACATTTCTTCTTTGCATTCTACACAGAGGTATTCACTGATACTGTTGTCCAGCATTAGTGTAGGCAGCAAATATGTGGTACTTTGGCATCCTCGATTTGGGAAACCTGGACCACGACGAACTGCACTTAGAGTGGCACTTGGGCCTAATTCTGCTGGAGGCAGAGGCATTTTGATTCCTTCCCCAATGTCTGGAAACGCTGGTTTAACCGCTTAACAGATAAAGTCATTACAAGCATTAGTGAACACATTGTACAATACCAAAAGAAGTCAGAAATGACATGACTGAAACGATAAGATGAAAATGTTTAATCCCATAATGATACTTAGGACTAACAGGTAGAGTACTTTCTTTGAAATAATAACATAATAATAAAAATAAGCCGCCCTCGTGGCGCAGACGGTTGTGGCAGCTGTTATATGCAGGTTTGAATCCTGCGTAGGCATGGTTTATTTTTCTGAATGTCCCTTCACTCCTCATCATCATCCTATCATGTGATAATTCATAATTCGAGACGTAACAGCCTTGTCTTACTAAGGGATACAGCCGAAAAGCTGATCCCCATAATGAAACATGTTCATCTCTGTGATAAATATGACAGCCTTGGAAGATAATGTGGAAGGGGGAGTGGGGTCATCAATAGCCGATAGGCAAATCATAATATATTACTATATTAAAAATTACATTAAAGGGTTTCATTTATCTGCTCCACTTCTGTAACCACCAGAGACGTATGGACGATTCTAGCAAAGTGTTTATAGGTTGATGAAGTCTAGCAGCTCTTTCATTCATTCATTCATTCATTCATTCATTCATTCATTCATTCAAGGATGCCACTATTTTAAAAGAAATTCTGACTTTTCTCTGTTTTCCAGTAATTTATTCCCCTCCCCTGATCTTCCCCACACACTAAATCAATCCAATAAATAAGAAGAGATAGAAATGTTTTAAAGTTCGCATGGTATCATCATCATTGTTATCATTATGTATCTTAAATGGCTGTCCATCCCTGTCATAGCCGTAAAAATTCCGAGAAGAACGCATGTTTTTATTTAAACATCATGTAGCTTTTAAACTTTGCAAATACATCTTTCAGAGCAAATTTATTTTAAACACAAATACTTTTTCCATGCATGTTTAATTATTTTTCGGAGAAAATCATGTAAAGTCACATTTGCACATTTTTTCAAATACCACTGCATATTTAGACTCCTATCTAGTGTAATATTAAGAATTTTTAAAAATTATTTTTTGCATAATTTGTGAAAATTAATAATTGTTGGATATTTTATATAAATAACATATTATCCCTAGATCCTAACACTATGCAACTGTCTTATCTTATTGGTTAGCTACAAATTTACACCCCATAATATATAATGAATAATATATTTTCAGTTCACTTGAGTGAGTAAAAGTATGTGCAAAAAACATGTCGATAAAAGAATAGAAATAGATATTGAATCAAAATTTTGTAAAATTGCCAATAGCAATTTAGAAACTAGAAACAGAAGGTTTACCTGGAGAAGGAGGAGAAAATCATTATGTGTAGTGTAAAATGAGAAATTTTACTTAGATATTGATCAGATTTCATCATTGAAGTATGCTCCAATTAAGGCTGCTGATGTAAAAAGCATTCTCTGCATTTAAAAACATTTATTTGTAACAAAAGGATGAATTTGACAGAGAACAATTTTGAAAAAATGTTACTTGTTCACTACAACAAAACAAAATAATTGTAAACTAAAATTTGATTGTGCATGTTTTGTCAATTTTTACCCTGCATCATGCATGTTTTTGATACAATGACTTAGAAATCCCTGCAACTGGGAGAGGTGTCCTACACAACAAACTGTGGATGACATCTGCGGTTCAACACCTGATAGCACTGAAGAAGAAATCTTGGATTAAACATGTGAAGAACTGGAGCAACCCTACGTTATTTGCTGTTTACAAACAATTGCAATACCAGGTCAAAGCTGCAATAGACTTCCAAATTGGGCGGTATGAAGAGGAACTCATATCTGTACTGCTCCGGCATTCGCCTGGTGTTGATCGGAGAAATTATGGAAAACTACTGATCAAAGCTGCCAGCAACTAGATTTCTCCTCCAGCCAGCAGCTGAATTCGACCTAGCTCTTTAGCTAGTGTCGAAAATCCTTCCACCGTCGGGACTCGAACCTAGGACCTCCCGGTCAGAGGAACTGCAGTGACAGCAGTTGATGCCCTAAGCCATCTCTCCCAGTTGTCATGGAGGAGACAGACTTCATCTTGTACCATTTGTTTTGAACGTGTGTACACATATCATGAATTTCCATATTCATTTTGTGGCACTTTGTCATGACAGAAAGTTTTCCCAATAAACAAAGTATTTCGCGATGAATCATGGAGGTACTTGCCCTTGGCATTGAGATAGTGTAACATAATGCCGCACTTCTCACTTGACGGGAAAGGGAATAAAAGTGCTCATCTTAAACTGTCCCCAGAGCTAGAGTCGGGATGCTAATGACGTCCATAATCAATCGTTTGGTTCAGCTAGTTTTGCCCTATTCAACAGTCATACCAAGAGCAAAAAATACATTTGACTGCAAGAACTACACACTTTGTAATCTCACTTTCCTAATATCCCTCAAACTAGGGGCCCCAAAAAATTATGAAAATATAGTAAAAAATTTAGGTGTATTTAGATCTATTGCAGGAGTGCTCATGTGGGTTCAAGTGCTCTTGGTTTGCCCTGCATCAACACTTATCTACGAGAAACCAGTAAGACTCATTGCTTGTCATGGCAAACAAGAGCAGGGGAGAGAAGGCACTGCATTGATTATAGAGGGGAAAAACGGGTAAACGAGTGTAACCTAGTCCTGGGGAAGTGGCACAAGAGCCACTACAACAGGTGCATTTGGGTACTTAGGCAATGAAATGTTTCATTTGAGTAGCTTCTAACACATCTAAAATATCATATTATTGCAACAAAAAGGAATCCATCGTAATTGAAATATTTTCCTAGTAGTAGTTCTACAGCATTTAGTGTACAGTTTATAAACTGAAGTTTCAAGAACACATTTGTTTAAGGGAGTAGAAGTATTTATAGCTCAAATGTCTTCGAACATTGTTACAATAACTAGACATTTTTTAAGTTGTGAAATAGTGTTTGTAACAATTATGTAAAATTATAAATGTTAGGAGAAAACCTGTCATCTGTTGAAACATTACTCGTTTCTTCATGTGTATTAATTTGTGGTGGTATTCCAAGGGAGCGTGTTGAAATTTTAGCAACACAAAATACAGTGACATTAAGGGAGATAGCTGCTACATTCTTTGTTAGTGTCATCTCTACAAAATTATTCTGCATGACAAACAGAAATACTACATTTCAAGAAAAGAAGAAATTGTGGAAGGAAAATAAAAACTTCTAAGCTGATAACTACCTTCTTATTAGAAAAAGAATATTCAACATTACATTCACTGCCATGGACTCATCTCATGATTTCAGAAAAAGGAAAGTGAATATATACAGGTAATTTTTGACATAAAACTTCTGGAAGCCAGACAAAAACTTGTTCACAAGCAAAAATATCTTCTTAGAGGAAAAATGTGTCAAAAACATCCCTTTTACACACATTTTCATTGCATTAAGAGAATAAAAATTTCTCTTATGGACCCATTTTGAAGTGTATTACTCATTGGCTAAAAATAACTACAAAGAATACAGACTTGAGGGCAAACATGAGAAAAAAATTAAATAATTACCTGCAACATCCTTAAAGCTCACATGATCACGTTGCAAATGTTCTCTTATGGCCCATTTATTAACAAACCACAGAGCGCATCGTGTGCATTTCTTTGTTATGTATCGGCGCTGATGCTTTTGGATGTGTGTAAGGAAAAAACTAATGTTGGATCCTAAACGGCGGCCATTTGCACAAACTGCTACAGTTTTTAAACAGAATGGGCACTGCATCTTTTCTCCGTGATTGTGTACCTGGGGAAAAAATGGTATTTTCAGGCATTAATGTTCACGGAAACCTTTCTGGCCTGCACCTTTATGGTGTATCACGTGCGTTGGCAAAAAATGATTTAAACTATATTTCACTGATAAAGCACCACGAACCATCTGCTTCTATTACATTATTTATGGTCATAAGAATTCTTCATGCTTCAATCATCTTATGTTATACGTCATTGTGAATGTAATCTGTGACAGGAGTAACCACTGTACTTTATAAATAAATAAAAAACAAAAATTCAATAATTTATTTAAAAACAAGGGGGTGGAGTCATACAAATCTATAATAATAATCTTTCATAGAACAGTACTTACTACTTACCTCATAGAAATGATCAATAACATCACGATGAATCGAAGAACGAAATTGACAAACATTACACACATAAGGCATTTCCAATGCAACATGAGTGCGATGCATATGCTGGATTAATGCAGAAGTATCTTTGAATTTCTCTGTGCATATCATACACATATCGTTATTGCCTGTTGTTAAATGAACCTGTAAGAAACATTAATACATTATAAATTGCATAAGTACCGTAGTTAGTAAATCATTTACTTAACTATTACAGGTCATATTGAATTTGTACCAAAAACAATAAAATCTGTCTCAGCCGGAATCAATCGAGACACAAAAAGTTCTGGCTTAGGGAAGTTTCCATTTTATACAAGGCTGTCCATTTTATGACACTTGTGATACTAATATTTCTGCTCCAAAAGTCGTAAATTACATGACTTTATTATAATTATCAAAATATATTAACATGTAACACATTTAAGGAAGAAATCACCGACAAATAAATATAAAACTCTTCATTGACAGCATCAGAGTTGAAAAATACACACCTTACTGACTTACAGCTTGACGACTCAACATACAATGTGTCACTACTCAGTACTATGACTTTCTTAACCCACTTTCTTTCTAATACCCTCCCATTGCCTTGTACAATGCGTATCTGGTCGAGGTGTTATGATTTTCAACGTTGGGCAGGGAGACATGTGAATAGAAGCCATACCCCTACACCTTCTCAGCTCAGAGAGCTGGAAGAAAGAGAATTCCCCTACAGCCTGTACCCTGACAGACAAGCGATCCCAAGGTCGAATTCTACACTGACAACTGAAGCCCCTCTCTCTCCTTCTATGTCCAGCTGCCAGAACTAAATCGCATGTCACAGGGATAGAGAATTTAAAACAAACTTGCAGATATTGGTTTCATTAAGAACATCTCTTGTCTCTGTGCCAATTGCATTAAATTCAAACGAAAGATTTTTTTCCCTGCAGGACATGAAAAAACCATCCATTTTAAACAGTGTTAAATGCCAATTAACTTCATGTGTCAGGGATATTTTTCGGTAAAAGCAGGTTTCCGGCTTGTGCAGGTATAGACAGATTTCACTGTACTATTATTTCAGTACAGCGAAATTCTACAAATATAAGGTAAAAGACATACACAGTCCCCTCTTCACTTCCACGAAACGTTAGAAGAATAGTCACAACAAGCCTTAACTTTTAAGGCCTTCAATTACCCCGATTTCTAGACTGTCAGAGCTGTTACACATTTTAACTTTCTCAATTCCCTTTCTCCAGGTTTTCTAGCAAATATTTCTATTTTCCAGACAGAATTTTCTTCTTTCTTTCCAGATTTTTTGTTCAACCATATGTGAACATCTTTAGCACCTAACCTCAAGATTTTTACTAAAAAGGATATGGCCTAGCTGAAGTCACAGACTCTTGAATTCAAAACATTTTTAAAATGTTCGTTTGTTGATCCAATAGAGCACACTACATGCTCATAGAAACACATAGGTTTGAATTTCATTAAAATCTTTTAAATTTTTATTTAAGTAAGTTTTTGACAAATAATTATCATTATTATCATCATCATTATTACTATGATTATAACTTTCATTATTATTATCATTATCATCATCATCATTATTGTTATTTTATTATTTATTTGTTTTGTTATTCTATAACTACTTCAAACATATTCTTACACAAATTTTACACATATGTTCGAAATGTATAGTATAGAATTAAAATTAAGCAATTAAATTAATTTTGGGGCAACAAATTAGCAATTGAATAAAATAATTAAAGATGTCATTGCCAACAATATTTTTTAATTCAATAGCAGCTTTCGATGGCTTAGCCATCATCATCAGTTGTCTGCTAGATGGAAGCCACAAAACAACTACCAGTAGTTAGTAGTCGTTTTGTGGCTTCCATCTAGCAGACAACTGATGATGATGATGGCTAAGCCATCGAAAGCTGCTATTGAATTAAAAAATATTGTTGGCAATGACAACATCTTTAATTATTTTAAAAATGCCAAAGATATCTTACCACAACACCTATAGCAATTGAATGTCTATATATTGCGTAATACGCAAAACGGTGGGGAAACGTGGACACATGAGAGTACAGTTCTATACTATTATTCCATAACTATTGGTTCCTCAGTATCTTCTTGCTTTCATTTACTTGAGTTTTCCCTACTTTACTAAAAAGTATCCACATGCAACATTTACCCAGAATTTTTTTAAAAACATAACTAATTCAAATAGATGGCTTTAGATTCCACAATAAGGCATTTTGTTCTTCCCTTCACTTAACATTTCTTAACTAGTAAATCATGTGAAAACAAAATCCCACAGGACTTCTAGTATTATTTCTATAACACTACTTTATACTCTATATTTAAATGGCTTATACATTGAATGAAATAAAAACATTCTACAATGGCATTTATATAAAAAATGCATTAAAACTTAAAAAAAATTGAGATTGTCAAAGATCGGCCCTTCTTTTCAATTAGAAATGGCATGTTATTATGTCACAAGGTCCAATAAACACAAACAAATCAACCCGAGGTATATCAACCAGTGCTGTAGTAAATGCTATAAGGAAAACACAACATTTTCAAACTTACCTCTTCTAAATGCGTCTGCATTGAAAATGGTGTTGGGAATGTTTTCAAACAATATTTACATTGGGTAACATCGCTTAGTTCTGTAGAGAACTGAGAAAATTGTGCATGAAGAATAAGATGCTTCATAAGCTGTATGTTATTGTTAAATTTTTTAACACAAACACTGCACTGTAAAAGACGGAAATTTAAACAAATCCATTAAAGGAAAGATGGAAAACAAAATCACAAGAGACAACTGTCACACAATTTAAAGTAATGTAATTAAGGTAACTATTTTTAGCATTACAATTCAATAGAATTGGTTTGTGCACAAAACAACATCAAACTGTTTTTCTTTGTAAATATTGTTAAAAACATACCTTCAGAACAGGAAGTTCCTTCTTCTCTTCATTCATGGCAACTGGATCACCTTCTAAAGTTCCATAATAATAAGCTTGCAAAGAAGTTGCCAACTGAGTGCCAACTACCAGTGTGGAATACGAAGGGCCAGATTTCTTCACTGTAGATTCTGCTGTTCGTTTCCGTGGACGCTCTAGAGATGCTGACAGAGGCTCAGCAGCTCGTTTTCGACCTCTCCTTGAAACAGTGCTTCCCGGTGAGCCAGGTAACATCTCACTTGAATCAATCTCTTGAATACTAAGCGGTAGCATGTCAATGCTTGGTCTCAAAATATCTGGCTAGATACAAAACATTTTACCTTGTTAGACAACAGTATTAACTTGTTTTCAATTAATTATTCATCATATTGCACAGAATGGTTCAAAGATCAGAAACCCAACATAATTTAAATCTAAAGAAATTTCACAAACCTACTATTTTTAATGTAAGGAAAATAACAAAACAGCATGAGGGGTTATGAAAGAACTAAAAAGAAATAAACAATGAACCGTTGTGTCCTGCCAAATTGCATTCCACTAAAGCATAGCTGAATAACTTCTGAATGCTATAACTAAAAGATCATGACAAAAAAGTCCCTTTGTCTCCAAAGAAATTAAAACTGAGAAATTCCATGGGCATGGCAACCTTGTAGCGAAATTCTAGAAATAGCTGAACCACCTTTAACTTGTAATATATACATGATGATTCCTGGTATGACTAGGCATTACAGTCTTTTTAAAGTAACTAATAAAGTTGGAAATAGAAATATAGGTTTCTCGACCTCTTCAGAATCTGGGATATTAAATCACTTCATAATAATGGTGATGAAGTTGCATTGAGAAACATTTGAATGACCTTTTTTGAAAGCAAATTTTCATTCAATCATCATTTGCATTTTCGCTTATGTTCTTCGAATACCGCGTTATTTTCCACAAACTATACTTGCCGTCGGAGAGTCCATCGCCAACCATGGGAAAAATATTGTGCGTGATTTTTTTACCTTCTACTACTGTTGCGTACTACAGCTTGCGTGGTTAAGTATACTTCGGTATTTCTATAGTGACCGATGACATTAGGTCATTGTTACATCTCCTGCCTTATAAAATTAATCTCTTTTTAACAGTGGTAGGCACTTTCTAAGGCCACAAGCCACGTTGAGAAGGTTCGCGAATTAATTAAAAATATTAATTTCATAAGGCAGGAAGTGCAACAAGACGTAATGTCATAGGCTACTATAGATAAATCGAAGTATAGGCGCGCTTGTTTCATAATTGTTTACTTTTTCTCTAGTACTTATTTGACAGTGGTCGAAACCCGAGGTCTGATTGAAGAGGAAGCCTATAATAATATTTATCAAAAGGAATCTGCAAGCTATAAGTACATTAACATTATTTTTATCATTTACGCGTTCGCATATTTTCTCGTCGCAATTGCCACGAGGCCACATGTTTCCCGGCATCGACGCGGCCGAAGATTATCTGCGCACGTTTACTCGAGTTCCAATAGCATCCCCCTTTGGAGCTATCTGGTAAGAACGGAATTAATCACAGAATTGATGGGATGATTTTTTTGGTAGAGTGCTCCAACCCGTTGATTTGCGTTCTTACCAAAATTACTTCTTTTTCGTATAAAATGTAGTAAAGCCGGTTATCTTATGATGCGACAGACTGAAGCTTACAGCTCCATCCAATGACTGAAAAGCAATTTCCAAAATTTCGGATCACAATATATAATAAAATGTAAGCGATTCTTGTAAATCAATTACAACAATAAGTTTAATAAAATTCTACATTGAAAACTGCATAATTTAATGCGTAGTGTCCGTGCCAGGTATATTCACATTCCGATCGGAAAATACATTAAATTCACGACAAATTGTTTGTAGTTCATACATTGTAAATTACTTCTACCAGACTTTTTTTCCCTTCAAAATCCGAAGAAACGTGAAACTTTAGCAGTGGCATAGCATGAGAAGAGACAGGGTAAAGAGCTTACCCAAGAAAATTAATTCTTAGGATGTAATATAAATATTTCAATGGATTTTTCAATTCCCAGCCTTGCCTTACCACCTACGATTCGAGAAACCGGCGTAGGCAATGCCACAGGAGAGACAGTTCGCGATGTGTCTTCAAGGGCTTAATTTTCCACAATAAAAAGCTGGGTGAGAGTAACCAATACCTTCTATTACTAGTAACTAGCAAAATGTGGCGTCGCCGACGTTGAAAATTGTTTTAAAAATAGTTTCATGTGTTAAAAATCTATTTCATTAATTTCTTTCATGCACAGTTTTGTTTAAACATGATCTTTCAGTATCTGGCATTGGACTTACTAATGCATCGTAGTAGCTGATAATATTATACTCCCGTTCACAAGTTCCAACACCCAATGGCCTTGTGTATTACTTCCATACGAGATATGAACTGGTCTCATTGCAATTTCAAAATTATAATCGCCTAACAAAGGCTTGCAGGTTTTGCTAATACTTCAATTTTAGTACAGCTACATTTTTACGTTTTTTTGCTAATATGCACATAGCACATAGCATTAGCATTAAATGCAGATCATTTCCAATAGTTCCGAAAATTCTATCGCAAAACCTTTCACAACTATATTTGATTCTTCCCCGGATTTCTTTAACATTTCCATATTTTTCTCCTCTAATTTTTGAAGAGATTGAAATTTTACAAACTTATTTGTGTTTACTTCTACTTCTGCAATTGCTCCTTTATTAATCGTTTTGTATGCTAATTTAGCGTTGCATGCAAATCTAACATTAAAAAGCGACTGTTTTGTATGTTTACGTGAATAAGTTATTAGTTAAGTTTAATAAACATAAGTTGTGGGTCTCATTCTTTTGAAAATAGATATTTGTACACTTATGTAAGAACTTAAAAGTGAGAAGTCGAACATAAGTTCATTCATTCTCTAGCATTATTCAGCTTTGTTTTCTCTGTATTCACTTGAAATTAAAGTTAAATAAGTTCCGAGGCAATACTGTTCGTAGGTTTTCGCAAATGTATTTTTTTTTTAAATACGTTTATTCGAATCTAAATTGAAATCAATCTGCTGCATGATATACTTGGTATTTCAATTGTTTGCATAAAGATGTAAACACCAGTGTTGCCAAAGTCGTGAAAGAAACTTATGGCGTAATTTGCTAAAAAATTGTTTGAGTACGAGTGTTTAAGTGGTATAAGTCTCACTGTTGCTTTATGTTTGGACGTCACGATGCGTCGTGTCAATGACGTCCCAGTTCGAGCAGCGAGTCCGGTGGACAGCGGACTGTCTACGTGAGCCGGTGAACAAGCTATTAAAAAAAGTTATTTATTATATTATTATAATATTAGTTATTTATGTGTGCCCCACTTCGAAATTTGGCAGATCTATACAAAATTAGTGTAGAAAGACATGTGTTCTTTTTATTTTACAAAGGGTCGACACAATGTAAAACTTTGAATTTTAAAAATTAAAATATCTTAAATATTTCAATATGTTTACAAAAATTATATTTACATCACAAGAAAGTACATAATTTTAAGTTATTTTATTTTTCTGAAGGAAATAGTATTTGTGCCCAAATTTAAACATTAGAGCGTGCATGATTCTTCTGAAAAAGTATAATTGTAACATTGGAAATATCTCTGAAGAGGGGATTAGAAAAATATGTGTCACCTATTTTCAACCCTAGAACTCTTAAAAAAAGTTTTAAGTCGCTAGAAAATAGTGATGTTTTGCGAGTGTGCGATTTGACGTGGAATAACTTATATTTACCTTTAAAAGTAGCCAGAGTTTTAAAGCTAGTGCAAATTCAAAATACCGATGCATCAAATGTTTTACACAAATTTAAAAAAATCGCAGGGAAAGAAGTATATGATAGAGAATGTCCAGCGCTTCCGGCAACGTTTGTCAACTTAAGGAACAATCGTAATAATTGCGCAATGGCTTTCATCGGATTATTTTTGTATATTACCACAAAGCCGTAACAGAATTAATCTAGAAATGTGTAAAAATCGAAACAAGAGACACGTACCAACCTTCACATGCTTGAAAGAGTTTCTCGCCGGGCTTTAGAGGAGAAAGAGTTTTTCTTTCATCTCGGTCAGCAAGTGAGTTTCCTTGAAAATATTTCTACTCCTCCACTTGTTTTCTGGAATTCAATTGGATTAGCTTTCACACAGCAGATTGACAAATGAATTATTAGATAGCATCATTCTGCTCAAAATGCAGGTGCCTCCCACAGAGGACTACATTAGTTCGCGGTAGATTGTGATATTTACAGTATTTTTGGCTTAATTACGAACCAACCCTGGTACCTGGAATTGCCAATTTTATTTCTTTCATCACCTCCTTTAAAAATAATTGTTCGCTTTATCGACTCAAGTTATTCTCAAAAATATAGAGCATACCTAATCATAACACGAAGAATTGCACATAAATGCCTCAAATGTAACATTTAGTAGACCAATATATTGGTAAATATCCGGATTTTCAATAATCGAAGACGCTTCTGAGTAGCTGCTTTTCAAACATTGTACAATATTTACAAAATACTGAGTTTTTTAAGAGACCTTAATACTTGGTCAGTACTACAGGGGAAGCTCTACCAGTAGCTACGCTACCACCGGCATAGGTGGCGGTTCACTGGGACACACACTAGGTCATGTACTCCCTAGGAGGGTTTGTTTTATTCCTTGCTGATATTTATCAGTGGGGATCCTTATTAGGGGGAACCCTGCTTCAGGGGACCAGTGTGATGCATAGGCTGTACCAGCCTAGCTGTGCTCCTGATCCCAAGGCCTTATGATGTATAGGAAGGAAGAGGAGTGAATTTGTAATTTATTAGTAACTCAATTTACACAATTCGACAGATTTTTTATTTCTGAACAAATATATTTTTTTCTTTTGTAAATATAATTATATTACTTTTGAAATATAATAAAGAATTTACGTTTCTGGGGTGTTTATGTTTCTGAAATGCAAATTTTTGCAATTAGAAAGTATTTTTTCAAACCAACTTTTGAGTGCTTATTGCAGCACAGCCATTCGGAATATCCAAGATGTTTTTAGACAAAATATGCTTAAAATTATCATATCCTTCCGTTGCTACCTAGGGTCCCCTGAACCTAGAGAAAAAAACTTTTTGATTTTTCAACATTTATTATTATTGCAAGCCATTCAGTGGCTTTATTTTTAGTTTTTAAAACATTCCTTCAGAAACTGTGTTTACTATGTAAACTTATTCCATGAGATGTTTAATTTACCTGATTTTTTGGGGGGTCTTGTAAACCCACCGTTGCTG